TTGGGGAGGTTGCATATCGTTTGGCGTTGCCATCGCAACTTTCCGGAGTGCATGACGTGTTTCATATTAGTATGCTTCAAAAGTATAAGTCGGACCCATCACATGTGTTGGATTAGACCGACTTAGAGGTAGATAAGGATGCCTCGTATGAGGAGAGACCGGTGAGGGTCTTGGATAGACGGGACCAAGTCTTGCGAGGCAAGACGATCTCCTTGGTCAAAGTATTGTGGAAACATCACAGAGTTGAGGAAGCAACTTGGGAACGAGAATTCGAGGTCCGAGAGAAATATCCGGACCTATTTGTTAATGTTTGAGTGTATATTGAAAACTTTGTTTTGTTGATGAACTATAAGAACATTGTATGTGTTTTGAGATTGTAATACATCGTGAATGTTGAGTATGTTACGGAGACACAAGTTAAATTTGAAGCATTGCATATGTTATTTAAGCTTTGGAAATGTAAACTTGTCATAAGCATTGAATATGTTTGGAAACACGAGATCTATGTGTTGAAATGTGTTAAATCTTGGAATACGCATATTGGTAATATATGTTGTGGATTTGTTCTCTTGTGAAGAGATGGAATGACCGGTAGATGGGTCATGGTGATAAAATTGATTTATTATTATTGTTGGGATTGGTTTAATCATGGCTTAAAATACCTGCTTTAAGATTTTGGGGATGAAATTTCCTAAGGTGGGGAGGTTGTAGCACTTGTGTTCTTTAAAGCTTTTGGTAAGTGTATTTGAACCCTTTATTCTATTTTCACTACAACAAAAAAGGGTTTTTACGGCGCTTAGTGCACGCCGTAAAAGCCCTTCTACGACGTGCAGCGCGTATCATATTATGACCAGTCATGAAAAGTCATTCACTTTCAATGACATGCTTCGTACGTCGTTAAAAACTATTTAACGGTAGATTTTGTACGTCGTCATTCCTTTTTCTACGACATGGTATAGTACGCCGTTAAAAACTATTTAACGGCAAATTTTGTGCGTCGTTGTTACTTTTTCTATGACTACTTTTGCACGTCGTTAATTGGTGAGACAAATAACGACACTGACTGCGTGTCATAAAATATGTAATACAATGACTTATTATGCTTGCCGTAGAATATACAGCTTTTTTATTTTTATTTTTAAATTCAGCAGGTTCTATTTGACCAATTTTCTACAATCTAACAAATATTACAAACAAGCATCACAAAACATTGATCAACCACCAAAATATTGTTTGAAACATAAAAAAGAAAATATATCCATAAATTATAAACATTCAACAATTGTCTATACATTCTAAACATTCGAAAACTATATCCTTAAATTTTAAACTGTACAAATAGTTTAAACCATCCAAAACTATGTATATCTCACTTTCTAAACATATCGATAACTATTAAGAGATTATTTAAAACTACCGACAACAGTTCCTATAGTAGTTGCAGTTGCAGCTGCAGCTGCAGCTGTAGCAAATTCACTTGCTCCTATCACCGGGACGAGGGTGCTGTAGACGCGCCCGCGTGGGGCCCTCGCTACAGTTCGGACTCGATTTGTGTCACGGTTCTTAATCTTGAACCAAAGAGTCCAAATCCGGCAAATCGTTTTGAGAAACAGATTTTTTGAAAAGAAGTGCCAAACATGGACTGCTTTGCCAGATACAGAGTCGCCACCTAAATATTTTTTAATGGGGAAATTTAGGAAACCCTGACTCGGTGCCGAAGGCCACATGTCCGTCATCACCGGAGTTGTCTCGGCTCGGGAGCTTGGGTACGATCGGGGAAGGTCAGCTATGAGCACCCCCTTTCGCCCGGTCCGAAGACCGGCCTCTACTAACCATGATATCCGATTTTGAAAACGTTATGTGTTCTTATTCCATTTTTTAGCCTAGAATTACTATGTTATGCGCGCAGCAAACAAGTATAGACTAGATTGCCTAATTTTGGAAATAAGCATTGCATATCCGTTTGTTCTTGGAAAAATGTTTTGGACTTTGCTACTCGTAAGTAGGCTAAAACACGGATTTCAACGAGTTTTTCCAACTCAAACAATCCAACCTTCACCCACAGGCATTCAAACAGTTTATCTCATATAAGCACTTAGCCACATGGTAAGCATACTATCATGGCAACATTCACACGCATGCGGCATGCTAAAGCATAAATACTTACATCGTACTCCATGCCAAAACAACAGACTAGTTAGCAAACATGCGTGTCCTAGCCCATGTCAAGTTGACTAATGCAACACATGCAAGATGCAATTAGAGTAGGCTCGGCTAACCTAAATATGGCATGTGAAATGCAACCAATTGATTCACGTATTCAATTTGGAATTTGAAATTTGAAATACAAATGCAGTTAGCATGATGTACCGAGCCCGGTGCATGTAGGACAAATGTATGAATGCACACATGCATTGCATAAGGTATGCTAATTTTCAAATATGCCCTAGTCTACCATCATAAGCAGGTAAATAAAAGGGAAGAAAGAAGTGGGGATTGGAAGACATACACACACTCACCCTCACTTATCACAGATTTGCCCTCGCTAGGAGGATACAAATAAATATTACAGTCCAAATAATAAGCAAATAAAATTATTACAGGATTTCTAATTTGCTTAATAGGAAGAATGCAAAAAGAAAGGAAAGGGATGGCCGCAGCCTCTACCTTGAAATGCACGAATGATGCATGCTCGCAACCCGGCTCGCCTGGAAAACCCGTACCACATCACTACCACCTCTGTTTATACTACCCTGCTTCTCTGAAAATTTCCAAAGCCCTAGGACAGGTTCCTTGCATGCTGTAGAGTACCACCGGCTAGGGGAAATTCCCACCGGCAGTGCACAATTTCCACTGGCCGTTTTTGGATCTATCGGCTGTAAACAGATTGCCGGCCGGCACAGAATTATGCCGGTCGGCAAAAACCTCCTGCAGAAGACAGTTTTGACAGCAAACAGAGGATAGACAGTATGGCATGGGATTTCAGGCACATGTAAGCATGGTCATGCTTCCTATCATGCTTTGAATTCAGGGAAGCATGGCCCTCGATCCTCGAGCCATCAATGGTGCACGATAGCCCAAGGGATCAAGTTTGCCACTTGATGTAAAGATGCATGCAACATACAAATGAGGACCAAGGCCTTATCATGTCGAAGTCAAAGGCCCCGACGACCGAAAGTTAAGGCACTTTACATCACTTATGGTATGAACGCCCCTTTACCTTCAACACTTGGTTTGACACCCCAAACCAAGTAGTGCAATGCATGTTATGCAAACATGGCTCAAAATGCAACAATGAGATGGAAATGCAAAGCATGCCAAATGTTATGTAACTAGTATGGCAAGTATGCAATGCTAGGCATGCGAAATGCAATGCGAATACGAACAATTTAAGCAATGGGACCAAAATATTACAACACTTAATGAAGCAATCATGCAATGGTCATAAGACAAGCATGCAAGGGGACCTCAAACCATAAAGGGGCAGACCTTAATCCACCCCAAAACAGCGGCCAAAAGTGCCTAAAAGGGTGGACAAAAACCTATGCCAACAAGCAATCCAATGGTCCCAACGCTAAGGCACAAAAAGGGCCACTTCACTTCCAACAACAAGACCAATCATGGCATGATTTAGATAAGTAAAAAAAACAGAATTTTTACAGGCAAAATAGGACTCCAAACCCTCCTAATATGGCAGCTTAAACGGCTCCAAAGGGATGCAAGCACCAAAGTTCATATCTAGGCCTAAAAGGCGCAACTCTCAAGGCATAAAAAGAGGTCACACATGCACACATGTAAACATGATTTAGGGACTGAAGTGTGGTCCTAAATGATGCCAAAATCATGAAGATGGTTCAAGCTACACATGTTAGAGATCAAAATGCTCATAGCTTACAAACTAAAACACAAAGAGATGACATCAAACAAGGCAAGCATAACTGAAATGGATGACCAACAGGCCTTAAACATGGCAAGACAATGCCAAAACCTTCATGAAACTAAGCCTACACATGCAAGAATCGTGGCCTAAACACAAGATACAACTCTAGGTCAAAAAGAGCAATGCAAAGCAAGTACTTTAAGCATGCAAAGAGATATAAATCCGACCAAAAACAGAGATTACATATGACCTAAAAACACCTAAAAAGTTCTGAAATAAGGCAAAAATCAAGCAAGCATGCATGTTACCCTTTAAGCCAAAATGCAAGGAAATAAGACAATGAAGGGAGAGGGGTGTCCCTCCCCTATGCAAGACTTCAAACCACCTTCCTTATCACTGAAAATCAACTGGTTTTTAGTGGTGAAAAGACCAACACACTCAAGCAAACAAGGCCTCACAAGGGAAGCACAAAAGGGGCCAAATAAAGCCTAATAAGGTGAGTTTGCACTCAAACCACAAAACAACCTTAATGAAAGTTCTAAAGCATGAAAATGTAAGCTTTTTTTATGTTATGCACAAATGCTAAATCAGCAAGCAAGATAGGTAAAAAACTATTGCAAGTTTGGGGAAACTAAAGTAAAGTGCTCACCCTTGAAGATCCTTTGAAGAACAAATGGTCCAGCCCTCTTCTTTTGATTAAAATCAGTCCAAAAACTCAAGAATCAACCCCCCAAGTCCCTCAATCTCGGAGCTAGGTGTAATAGTGTGTGTATTAGTGCAAAAGTAAGGTAAAAGCACACTTTTAGGCCAAGAAACACACACAAGGGAGGAGAGAGGGGGAGATATAGATATAGGGTGTATCTATCTATGGAAGTTCTGGTTTTGCCTTCAAAGTTTCTAACCTAGAGCCAAGAGGAGGCTTGTCCTCTTATAGAACTCCCTCTTGCAAAGCTTATACAACAAGCTTGGTTAGAGGGCAATCCCTCCATACATGTGTATGGAGGGAGGCAGAGTCGGTGCTAGCTACCACAGTTGGCACAAAATATCTACATAAAGTAGATGAACAGTGGTCGATTTGACCAATTTTCTACAATCTAACAAATATTACAAACAAGCATCACAAAACATTGATCAACCACCAAAATATTGTTTGAAACATAAAAAAGAAAATATATCCATAAATTATAAACATTCAACAATTGTCTATACATTCTAAACATTCGAAAACTATATCCTTAAATTTTAAACTGTACAAATAGTTTAAACCATCCAAAACTATGTATATCTCACTTTCTAAACATATCGATAACTATTAAGAGATTATTTAAAACTACCGACAACAGTTCCTATAGTAGTTGCAGTTGCAGCTGCAGCTGCAGCTGTAGCAAATTCACTTGCTCCTATCACAGGGACGAGGGTGCCCAATGTATGTGTTAAGGCATCTAAACCCGCGGCAATAGCTGGAGCAACTAACCCTGTAGCATTTCTTGTCTGCATGACAAAGGAAACTTTACATAAATACAAAAACCAATGACTCAAGGACAAAAATATATCTTGAGGTATTAAGAAATGATCAAGAATTTTAAAACATCAACAAAACATTTCCAAAATTAATAAGATAATTCAATGGCACCATAAAAGCAATGTCACAATGAAAAATTAGCAAATTACTTAAATGTATGTAATAATATTGATATGACAAACTCACCAACGGGTCTAAGTTCAGATTAGATGCAAAGGATTAATAGAGTATTCTCTGCAAACAATTCCCATTGGATGACAAATTCTCCATGAACTGAAATCAAAGTTCAAGAAATAACCACTAAACCTCAAATGCAAATCAAGAACAACTACAAAATCATCACATTTTCCTACAAAGGTTATAAAATTCATCCCCGCAGACCACACAAGCATGCTCATTGATCTCATAAATTACCAAATTTCATAAAGATGATAAATTTCTTCTTCTTTTTTTGGGTTTAAAATGCTTTTATTTTCTTTTTTTCTCCTCTTTTTGATGTACACAAGTATATATGTGTAAGTATATATACATTTGCACTTTATAGTTCTTGAGTAATATTTGTTTTGTGATGCATATGAGACAAGGTAAAAGAAAATCTAAATTTTTTTTTTCGGTGAAATTAATGAATTATAGAAATGGTAATCCAAATTTAAAACTTGTGAAGTGCTAAAAAAATTCATTACCTGAACTAGCATGTCAAAAATCTATATTGAACAAAACTTCCTTTTTGCTGAACTCCTTGTATTTCTAGTTTTCTCTTTCTGCCTTCCTGAACAAAACTTTCAAAATAATATCACCCAGTTAACTACATGAATAATTTAATAAGATAATGGAGGAAAGGGTATTTATTCATATGATGGAGGTAAGACTTTAAATATTTCTACTAGGATTACATATCATGTAAGCTAGTAAGATAAAAGCAAATTTATTTTTATTAAGAGTTCAACTTCTTAAAATTGCTGGCAAAAACATCAAATCTCTATTATGGCTCGATGCATACAAATTTCATTCGGTAAGGAACAGAACATGGTTCACCATTTTCTGACAACAGAGAAAAAAAATCTCAACTTTCAATAAGCCTTAACACAGGTTCCATTTATTTTGCATCACATAGTTTGCAAAATTTGGGGGGGGGAAAAAAGTCCTCAACCTTACCTAAAAAAATTAATGAAACTACTGAAGTAAAATAAGAATTAAACGGAATTTGGAATTCCAGTACCAAAGTGGTTAATTTGTGCTTCTAAAATGGCGTCACCCCACTGTTCGAAGACGAAGACATTACTGAGAGAATTTCAGTCACAGAAGCCATGGCACTCAAAGCTACCTTGAGAACATACTGTGAACACCCTGGTTTCACAGTGGTTCACACCACCAAAAAACAAAAAAAGATGAGACACAAATAACAAACATGAGGATAAATGGAAAAATGAGATACAGTCAAATGAAAGGATAACATCCCACAGCTATCATGTCACAGTCCAAAGTCATTCTAAACATGGACATCAGTCCCTTGTACAAGTCGGTAAGGTTTAACTTCCACTCCTCTGGGCTTAGTTAATTCTAAATGACCAACCAATTATGTGAGGAGCGTTCGACCAGTTTATTCAATTAGAAGCTCTTACAAGTGCTATTTCAGTTTTCATTCCTTGGATTGGCAAATTGGAAAGCCATTTTTCAATCCTCACTATCTAAGCTAAATGAGATCATATGCCTTTGGAAAGAAAACAAGAGAGATAACACATGAAGTAAGCTTCAAATTTATGCTAACAGATACACAAGAATCAATTGGGGAAATATCAGAATTGGGGAAAAAATAAAAAATAAAAAACCCAATGGCATAACACATTGTTGAAATTAGTCAAGTCCTTATAAAGGAAAACCTCAAATAAAAATGAATATTTGAAAAATTATGCACACTTGTTTGACAAGAGAAGACTAGCAAAGCTGAAATAATATTTTCAGCAAGAGTATAAATCTCTTTTCCCAATATCAAGAATAAATATGCGATTCACCAAATGATATAAAAGTAAGCCAAGCATTTCAAAATCATGTGTCCACAAAGAGATTGATGCACCTAGTAGCAACTTCAAGAAGCTTTAGGTGACCATGTAAAGGATTACATGAACCAGATAAAATTATCTTCCTTTCTGTATCAGAAGTATGTGTCTCTGCGAAACATTTTCTTCATAAAGAAGAATAAACAAACGATGAAGAGTCATTTGAAAGTAAATCCAACCCAAGGGTTAAACCATACCATTTGAAAAGGGATAAACCTTAAAACATATTTCCCCACTTATAAGCTGCTCTAATTCTTGATCTTCATCAAAGTGCTTTACACATTCATCAGGATCTTCAGATTCAGTCAATTCTGAAACAAATGTTGTTGGAACTTTGCAAGCATTTGCAATTACCTGTAACCAAAAGATAGTTCAACAAGTTAAGGTATTAGTGGCTTCATAAAAAATCAAAAACACCAGAAAAGGTAAAATAAAAAATAATTGGAAACATATTTTTAAAATAACGGAATAGATATTGACATTCATTGAGCTTATTATTTGGACTATGTACTGCTATGCCGAAAGATAGAAGTACAGATAACATGAATAGTCCCCAATGTTGACAATTGAGGAGTGGGTTGCTGCAAATGACTATAAAATCAAATAATTGGAAATCATCAATGCTGGATAAATATTAATTTGGCTAGATACTCATTCTCTCACCTCAGTATAACTAACAAGAATACCATTCAACTATTGGGTACTTAAAGGCCAAACATTTTGACAAGTTATCAACAGGTTCTCTCTCTTTTTCTTTTTTGGAAAAAAGAAAAAAATAGTAAAAAAAAAAATAAAATTGGTTACCTCCATCTTGCCTTCACCATTCCAAATGTCTTCCTCTTGCCCATAGTCATTAAGTCTTGACATTGCCTTTTCATTTCAACTTGCTATTCATAAAATACGATCACATTTATACTCCAAAACAGCAGGGGAACATGACAAAATAGTTGGACTAGGGTAGTGAACGATTATATCATGATATATGGTGTCACATATGAAATATGTTTGACTAAGAAAATACTAAAATAGAGTTGGCAGCTGACCCAAATGGCTAGGTTTTTGTTGTGCAACGCAATGTGTGATAATAAATTCTACGTTTTTTTCATGGAACTTCCTAAAATTTGAGAAGTGCAAAACTTGCCAAAATCCATATATAACACCCATGCATTACAAATCAAGACAGCTTCCCCATCTTATCCATGTGTTGGCCCTAAAAATCACCTTCTTCAATAAGAAAGAACAGTGGAACATTTCTATCTCAAGTTTATCAGTAACCAAATATATGAAAGAGGCATTACATGTCATATACATTAAAATTTGGGTATTACAACTTCATTACATCTTAATCTTTTACAACATATGCAAATCCATGCACATTAATTACACATAATAAAATATATATAAACATAAATATCATATGATCTACCTTTAAATGAGAGTATATTTAGGATTCAAAGCAACTACATATGCCAATGAACACAGAAAGCTACATTTAACAGCATAGTAGATAGCAATGCCTGGAGATGTGCTTGTTACGAGATGTAATAATATAAATCATATATGCAGACTAACAGGATGCAATAATATAAATTATGCAGCTATGGGGTTCATATAAATTTACTACTTCAACATTGTTAGGGACAAAGAAAAAGGGAAAAAAGAAAAAGAAAAGGCAGGTCAGAAAAGATATTCTCTAGAGAATATGAATTTAGTACAACAAAAGTCAAATTACAAAAACAAAAAAGGAAAAATACTTTACGTATCAATTTTCATCTCTTTTGCAATCCTTGTGTCATGACTCGAACCCGCCCTCGTGGGTTAAGGACATAACCGGCCAGTAATCATGAGACGGCCTCAAACCAAACCGAACGTATTTTAACAGAGTTAATAGGGGCCAAACGGAAGCAGTTCAAAACTTTCTCCGTAGAGCTGTACTTACATGGCACATCCAAACAACCAAACACATATACATTAATAACTCACAACAGAAATACAGTACCATAAGTTCTGTACAAACAGGATCATCCAAAAACTAAGTCAACCCATGAAAACTATATACAGACATATGCAAAGTCCTCGCCAACATGACAAAAATAACATAGCATAACAGAAAGGCGAAGACGAGTCTCGTGTGTGAGACACTAGGGCTGACTCTCCAAAACTTGATTGTTCCACACAGACTTCACTGGGGCTGGGTCTGGACCTCTCTTGGCTCACCTGCAAACACATAAACGAGCGTGAGCGATAGCCTAGTGAATAATATCAAATAAGAATATACAAACAATATATAGAACAACATACTCCGAACGGCCTTGGGCCTAATTCACATTTTTATTTAACATTTATATACACAATTTAAGTCAAGTGACTGTGGTTTCAAACATACTGGCCTTTGGCTCATTTAACTTTCATTCCTGTCAAAACGGCCTCTGGCCCATCCATTCATGTCAAAACAGCCTTCGACCCATCCATTCATGTTGAAACGGCCTTCGACCCACCCATTCATGTCAAAACGGCCTTCGGCCCATCCATTCATGTCATATCAAACATTTGTCCATAATTCAAACCGATAACTTATAAGGCTTATAAGAAATAACCAATTGGACAAATGATGAGTTTCAAATATCGATATTACTCACAGTGATCAGCTTGTGGATTTGCCCTGGAGGTTGATCCTACACATTATATACCAAATAAGGGTCACAACCGATTCAATCTGTTCTTTAATTCACATATTCCTCTTTAGGCTCCATTCTTATCTCTTTAACTCAATTACAATGCTTAATGTATGCCTAAGAGTGCTTGCAAGTGAAAGAGAACGGAAAGCGAAACACAGAATACACTTTCAAAATTTCATAAAGCAGGGTCCCCGCTCGAGCATGGACTCCCCTGCTCGAGCAGACCCATGAGGTCTGCAAAAGTACTGGTTATGTCATTTTTATGCTCGAGCGTGGAACTCGAACGCTCGAACATAAGTCCATCCTACATAGCTCCCCGCTCGAGCGCGGACTTCCCCACTCGAGCGGACATCATGGTCTGCATAAAATACTGGGAGAACGAAATTCACGCTCGAGCGGCGGTTTTCCCGCTCGAGCGGACATCAAATTTCTGGGTTTTCCAGAATGTGTTCTTGAGCTCAAATTCGACATTTCAACCACATTTATTGCATATGGTGGCTCAAATCTCACATATGCTTGCACTAACACGGTACCAACACCAAATTACAACACAATGGAGTTCAATTTCATGAATTGATCACATGCATGCCCCAAATTAACTCAAACTCATGCATCCAAGGTTCCCATTTTTAATAAACAACATGCATGCCCATTTTGAATTTCATTTTCACTTCTAATGATGCAATTAGTGCTCATTCCCATGAAACTCAACAAAAACATGCTTGCATGTGGGATTACACTTCCAATCTTTCGTAATTTACAATTTACATGCTAGATTTTGTGATTCCATAAGTACTCTTTACATGCATGCACATATCAAGCTTTCATTCCAACAAAACCAACTCAACTCATGCTCTTGGTTACAATCAAACCTTGAACACACAAGATTACACATTAAACTCATGAATTCAAGAATCAATTGCTTACCTAGAAGCCTAATCTATGGTTAATTCTTGAACTAGACTTCAAATATCCAAGCTTGAGTCAAAATTGCACAAGTCTCCCCCTTCTATCTCTATGGCCGGCTCTCTCTCTCTCTCAAGGAACCAAAATCAGATTTTTGAGTTCAAAAGAGGCAATGAGAGTGTATATGGCCTCACACATAAGGCCCCACTAACTATTATTTAATAACATTAAATAATTGGGCACTAAATCATCAGTTTAATCAATTTAATTCGACCCGAATCGATTTTCAATTAAATTTCACCGTAGGCTCTAAAGATTACGCTAATCACAATGGTGCGATCAATTTCGGGTTCTGTGGCCGATAAGGCCCTTAATTTAATTTCCAAAGCAGATAATGAAACAGATATTCCTACGGTGAACAGATAGAAATTCAAAACCACATATTTTCACACAATGGCACATGAAATCATATTAAACACATAATCATACTCAAATTAAGGACCAATTAGCATACTACGGAATAGGGGCATCACACTTTTCCCCCCTTTAGGAAGTTTGGTCCTCCAAACTTAATTTACCTTCGTCGGGAAACAAATGTGGATAGCGTAGTCGCATTTCCTCCTCTTTTTCCCATGTAGCATCTGTCCCATAGTGTTCTTTCCATTCCATTTTCACCATTGGGATGCACTTGTTTCTCAATTGTTTCACTTGCCGATCAACAATTCGTTCCAGCCATTCGGCATATTCCATATTTTCGTCAATAGCTACCCGGTGATAATCAATCACATGAAACGGGTCTCGAAGGTAACCCCTCAACATCAACACATGAAATACTTTGTGGATTTGCTCAAATCCCAGTGGCAAAGCAACTCTATAGGCAACTGGACCAAGCCTTTCCAAAATCTGGAACGGCCAAATGTAACGGGGCGATAACTTGCCCTTCTTTCCAAACCTGACTTGGCCTTTCATCTGAGAAACACGGATGAACACATGGTCACCAACCTCATACTCAAGAGGTTTTCTCCGAATATCTGCATAATTCTTATGTCGATCCTGAGCTGTTTTGAGCCTTTGTCGAATAGTCTTAATTTTCTCGGTAGTGTCTTGCACAATTTCAGGCCCAAGTAAAGCCCTATCCCCGACTTCTATCTAGCAACTTGGTGATCTACACATTTTGCCATACAAAGCCTCGTATGGTGCCATACCGATGTTGGAGTGTAAGCTGTTATTATAAGCAAATTCTGCAAGTGGCAAATAGTCTTCTCAGCTCCCCTTAAAATCCAAAGCACACATCCGAAGCATATCTTCCAAAGTCTGTATTGTTCGTTATGATTGCCCATCTGTCTGCGGGTGGAATGTAGTACTGAATCTTAGTTCTGTCCCCATAGCTTCCTGCAAACTCTTCCACAATCTGGATACAAATTTCGGATCTCTATCCGACACAATAGATACCGGAACTCCGTGTAAACGGACAATCTCATCAACATAAATAGTAGCCAATCTATAAGCATTAAACGTAGTTCTAACTTGCAGAAAATGTGCAGATTTAGTCAGTCTATTAACTACGACCCAAGTAGAATCCATACCTCGAGAAGTCCGAGGTAGGCCCATAACGAAATCCATAGTCACATGTTCCCACTTCCATTCAAGAATAGGGAGAGGTTGAAATAGACCGCATGGTTTCTGATGTTCAGCCTTATCTTGCTGACACTGAAGACACTTGGACACATATTCTGCAATCTCTTTCTTCATTTTAGGCCACCAATAGGTTTGTTTCAAATCCCGATACATTTTATTGTTACCCGGATGCATAGTAAATACGGATCTGTGGGCTTCATCTAAAGCCCTCTTCTTTAGTTCCGGAATGTTTGGGACACACATTCGGTTTTGAAATCTCAACACTTCATTTACAATACTAAACTCTGCTTTCGAACTTGTCTGGAATTCATCAATCACTTTCTTGAGGAATTCATCCTCTTTCTGTTTCTGCTTAATTTCATCAATGATTGCCGGCTCGGCTGTAATAGCGGCTATCAATCCGCCCTGTTCACATATTACCACTTCAATTTCAGATTTCTCAAAATCTTGCAAGATCTCTCTCTGTTCAGTGAGCAAACAAGCCA